TTTTGAATACTTAAAAGATATCCGCTTTAGAGTTTATGGAGCATCTATCCTCAAGGGAGTTTTTCCTGAACAACTAAAAATTGCTAAAGTTACCCCAATTTTAAAAGAAGATGACTAAACAAGTATTATTGCCTTATCTCTGTCCTCTCCATATTTTCAAAAATACTAGAACGTATAATGTACGATAGATTGTAAAATTATCTTTATTTTAATAATTTTTTATACAACTATCAGTAGATTTCAAAAAAATAATTCCACAAAACATGCAATCATCCAATTGTTCTTAAAATCTCTAATTTTTTTGAAAAACTTAAACATACATTATGTGTTTTCATCAGCTTTTCGAAAGCATTCGATTCTGTCGCTCATGAAATTTTACTACACAAGCTAAAATATTATAAAATAAATTACAGCTCTAAAATGGTTCAAAAGTTATCTTTCCAACCGTAAACATTTTTTTTTCAACAATATTGATTATCCAAATAAGTTTCTAAATATTTAATGTGGCGTTCCACAAGATTCCATTTTGGGACCACTGTTGCTCTTGATTTATATAAACAATCTAAATAAAGCCTCGAATTTAATGAGTATCATTTTTGCTGACGACACTAACTAATTTTTTCCCGATAATGACATTTAAAAACTCTACTATACTATGAATGATGAAAACAAAAATATCCAAATAGTTTAAATGCAAACCAACTCTTAACATTTAAAAACAAATCGGATTCTTTTCCACCCATTCTCAAAAAAAAACTTATTTAACCCTAAGTTTGCATAAAATTTTTATTGATTATTGTTGAAATAAAAAGACAAAATGTTATAAAGTTAGAATGCCTTTATTGCAGTCAGAATCATGCAATACGTTTAATAAATTTGCCGATCAATACACTCATTCAAAACCATTTTTATTGAATTGAAAGTTCTCAATATTTATGAGCTTAATGTTTTTAATGTTTTCTAATATATATATATGTGGAAAAATAAAATATCTTTACCCATCTTTAAAGATCTCTTTTGCTTAAACCAATAAATAAATATACACTTAGAAATAGTAATATTATATATGAAAATTTTTGTCTAACTAAGTTTATTCAGTTTTGTATTACATATTGTGCACCCAATCTATAAAAAAATATTGTTTTTGTCAAATTTTGACATGTATTTTACTTTTCCCATTTTCAAATATGAATTTGAATTTGAATTTGTTTATTCATAAACCAAAAATTTACAAGCTATTTAAAAAAAAAACCATCATAAAAGAATAAAGTTTGAATTGTAAATTTTGATGAAGTGGTGCAGCATCAGGCACCACTATGATGACGTAATTTGGACACGCAGTGTATCTTGGTTAGCTTTGAAAATGCATCAAATCGACTTTTAAAAATGTTTGTAGAACTTGCATTGACTACATGTGCTGGTAGCCCATTCCAGTTGTTAACAACTCGATTAGTAAAATAATTATCTCGTTCTTGGCAAGATTTCACAATTTGCCGTGATAGTCGCTGATTATGTCCACGCAAATTATAATCTGTGCAGCTTCTACTTGATGCTTAACTTTTAGGTCATTTGATGTTAGAACACCTAAGTCACATTCAATAATTGTTGTTCCAAGTTCTATTTGATTACCATATATGTCAAGCATTGAGTAAAGGCGTACTGATTTATTTGAGTGACCAACATGCATGACTTTACATTTTTCTAGATTGAAATACATGAGCCACTTTTTAGACCATTCGACTGCATGATCTATGTCTTGTTGTAGTTTTATTGCATCATCTTCTGCTTTGATTACCCCTAAAATCTTACAATCATCTGCGTAGATCTTTAAATAATGCACCATGTTGTCTGGAAGGTCGTTTATATAAATCAGAAACAAAAGTGGAACTAACACTGAACCTTGTGGAACACCACTAGTAACATCTACCCATTCAGAAGTGCTATTGCTGATGACCACTCTCTGTTTTCGATTTTTTAACCAGTCAGTTATCCAATCTAGGAGTAATTCATGTATGCTATATGCATCAAGTTTTAAAAGAAGACGTTGGTGAGGTACTTTATCAAAAGCTTTAGCAAAGTCTGTGTAAATCACATCTATGGCATGGTTATGAAATAAAGTGCGTTTGTTAAAATGTCCTGTGCCTATAGAAGGTTAGTTGTACAGCCGCGTCTTGGAAGAAATCCATGTTGAGATTTTGTAAAGAGCCCTTTTTCAAGGCAATATTTGAGGATTCTTTTGTGTATAAAACTTTCCATTATTTTACAGGGTACCGATGTGAGAGAAACTAGTCTGTAGTTCAAGTATTTTCTACGGCTTCCAGGGATTTTTTGAAAACCATGTCTAGTGGCTTAGCTATTGCAGTAGCACAGTGTCGAAGAACACGCGAGTGTATGTTATTGCAGCCTTTTGACTTTGTTTTGATGAGCTCTTCTAGCTCTTTCTAAACAGATATAGTTGTTAGTTCTGCTTCATCCAGGACACATTTCGTTTCTGTTTGGTTCTGAAATGTTGGTATCGGATGTAACGGTTCTACAACAAATACTGACTGGAAATTATATGTTAAGTAAATGAGAAATTTTATAACTATCAGTTGTAAGATTTCCATCGTTGTCTTCTAGTGACTTTACCATTTCATTCTCTATTTGCTTCTGCTTGACTTGGTTATGAAGCCGTTTTGGATCAATTTTAAAAGAGTTTGCAATTTCATTTTCATACTTAGCAACTGCTGATCTTACAATCTTAACTAACTCTTTGCAAGCTGCCTTATGCTCTTCTCGAATCTCTATGTGAGTCAATCTACCAGCTGCAAGATATTTGCGCCAAAGGGTTCTTTTCTTTTTAACTGCTTTTTCAACTTCGGGCGTATTCCATGGTTGTTTTTGTTGCTTGAACGATGTTTTAGTTGAAGGTATGTAAAGGGTGACTGCCTTGTTAATTTTTTCAACGAACATCTGATAATTATCATTTACTGAATGGGAACTGAAAATTGTCACCCATTCATATGATGTGATTAGCGTTAAGATTGCTTCATAATTACCTTTTTTTAACTCAAGCGTTGTATATATATATATATATATATATATATATATATATATATATATATATATATATATATATATATATATATATATATATATATATATATATATATATAAGCTGAAATTTTTCAGCTTATATATATGTATATATATAAGCTGAAAAATTTAATTATTGTAATGGATGATGTAGTCAGGTATTTTCAATTGTAACTATATATTTTGTTTAGAGCTTTTATTGTAAATTACGTTTTATTTTGTTGCTTATGTGTTAATGTATTTTATATACATACGCTTGTAAAAGATTCTGGTGGTAAGATCAGAACGATCTTCTTTCAGAAACCTTGTTTGTGTTTGTGAAAATAATTTATTCACTATGACAACAAATGTAAACTAAAAAAAAAAAAAAAAATTAAAGTACAAAACATTTATTTGTTACAAATTGATGAACGCTATTTTCGAACGCTATTTTTTTTATAACATTTTAGTAATTTAACTTTTTTACGCGCACTAATACGCAAGTCTAAAAATATTGTATAAAATATCGTTTCTGAAATGAAATGGTTTTGAATTGCCGACTAAGATCTCTCAACTCATTTTTTGCCGACTAGCATTTTGTGTTGGGAGTGGGGTGGTTGTGGTGTCAAACCACGCGTGCACCTCTCTCCTACTTCTGGCCCTGTGTGTGTATGTGTGTGTGTGTGTGAGTGTGTGTGTGTGTGTGTGTGTGTGTGTGTGTGTGTGTGTGTGTGTGTGTGTGTGTGTGTGTGTGTGTGTGTGTGTGTACTGAAACTTAAAATATGGTTTTATAATATTCAAAAATACACAAATACAAAAATTTTAAATTTATTTAATTTTGGGTAACAAAAACATTTTAAAGTTGAAATCGCAATCACGTGACATTGACCGTGCACAACATAAAAATATAAAATAACTGCAGAAGGAGAAAATTGTAAATATTTTTGTAACTGTGAGTTTATAATGTCCTTAAAAAGTTTCAAAAAAGGTTCTTAATTTGAATACTATGCCGGATTTATTGTAGAAGATGTAAGTATTTTAAAAATTGAAAATTATGTTTTTTCTTTAAAGTTACTGATTTACGTAACTGTGTTATCCTGGTTTATGTTATTAACAAAAACTAACAATTAGCGTATTTTACTCCAAATTTTTTATTATATATTAATGTAAAAAATAAATTAACTTTTGTTTTATTTGTTAATGTAAAAAATAAACTAACGTTAGTTTTGTTTAATATTAGTTTTTAAGTTTTATTTAGTTTTAAATAGTTTAGGCATATAATATATATATATATATATATATATATATATATATATATATATATATATATATATATATATATATATATATATATATATATATATATATATATATATATATATATATATATATTAAGTTGATTAAGGTCAACCAAGAAGTCCTTCTGGTTATATACAGAACACCGCGGAAGAGCATTTAATAGAAAGTTTACGCCTCCTTCCCAACTGATTTGCCCAGAGGTGGGGATTGATTCATGGATTTTACGTTTTTTACTTACCACTGCGCCACGGCTGCAATATAAATTATATAAATAGTTTATAATAATTTTTTGTTGCAATTATGTATAGCTAATCCAGAATCTTTTAAGAATAATGATTTAAAAAAAAAAAAAAAATTAAAATCATAAAAACGGTCGGTACTTTTTTCCAATGAGCAAGTTCAGGTTTCGCGTTTTTTGTAAAATCAAGGCCCGAAATATTTAAATATATTTAAACCATTTATACTCATTTTGTTATAATAATTTGCGATAGATAAATAGTTATTATGTATATTATATTAAATAATTATTTTTAATATATTATAGCAAAATTTGTTATGACTTATCACTATAAAAAACGAATTCGATATTCAAGCACTTTACGTCAGGGTTTTATTAAAAATGCGAAACCTGGATTTTGCTCATTGGAAAAAAAGTTTTGACCCATTTTGACCCAAAAACAAATTTTTATGTTCGCGGACGTGTAGGACACTGTGGGAACAGGACATTAACTTTTAATAACAATAACAAATTATTTTATGTAATTTTAATAGTATGGAATCGAAGGGCAAATTAAAGGTAATTTCAGTTGAACAAAACTGTAATAAAACCGTTGATTTTTGAAATTTTTATCAGAAATTTTTAATAGGCATGATTTCAATAGCTAAGACTGGTGTCAAAAATATCTCGGTGAACAAGACTAATATAGCAACTTGGCGTCACTACTCCTCATATGGTGTAATAAACTTTAAAAAAAATGATGTAATAAACTTTAAAAATAAAAATGCCTAATTAATTGCCAAATAAAAAATGAGAAATATTTACTAGATTTAAAACTTTATTATCCAGTTATCATATGTCCATGACATTTTAAACAATTCTGTAGGTTATTAATCAGCTCTCTATACATTGATGTATTGTTTTCATTTTTAATCTATTGGTTGCACATTCTGGATGAATAATATTACAACATTTTTATTATTATAAATTCCACTGAGTTCTAATAGTACTAAACAAGCACTCTTCATTTTTTAGACTTTGTTTACTGTTTTGTACTTGATTTACCTGCTTGTAAATATTATGTCCTGCAGCACCATCAAATTCAGCCTTGCATCTAAAGATCAGTTTAATTAGCTCCTTAAAATTGTGATTAGCACAGGAGCTTCTACATTACGCAGCCTTTAAAAAGTGTGTTTAAAAAAATCTTTTAGCGTTATGTGTATTGAATAGTCATCTATATGAATGTTTTTAGATATATGAGGCAATTTTTTTCTTCAGCACCTTTTCTTCTAAGCTGGTATATTGATTTTTGTATATCTCTATCAATAATTATTCCTAAAGCTTTATTAGGTGAATATTGCTCTATTAAAAAAGCTTGTAACAGAACCAAAACAGAAAGGCTAATAATGTTATTAATAGTTTATTTTCTCTTAAATTACTTCATGCAACAAAATTAAAACTAAAAATAAGTTTAAGTTCAAGACTGGCAGAAAAATTACTTAAATTTGAAATAAAAACTTTATTGAAGCTGTAATAAAATAAAGCTTCAATGAGGTTTTTATTTCAACTTTCAGTAATTTTTCTGCCAGTCTTGTACTTAAACTTATTTTTTATTTTTTATTTCGTTGTAATAAAATACAGCTTCAATGAGGTTTTTATTTCAAATTTTAGTAATTTTTCTGCCAGTCTTGTACTTAAACTTATTTTTTAGTTTTAATTTTGTTGCATGAATTAGTTTAGGGAAAAATAAACTATTAATAACATAGTTTGCTACAAGCTTTTTTAATAGAGCAATATAAGTTTTTAACTCATTAACTGATGATGTAGAATTTTATATACCGTAGGTATATTGAAAATCTTAAGCTTGCAAGTTTTAATTACTTTACTTAAAATGAGTATTATTATTGTTTGCAGCTATTCACTTTTTATGATATTCTTTATATAAAGTTTTTGGACCTAGAATCCTCTAATTCAATATCTATAGAAACTAGAAGAGTTAATATCGAAAAAAAGATATATCATTAGAAATTAGTTTATTATGGTATATCATTAGGAATTAGTTTACTTTATTGTATAAGTCCATGAATGTCACCAATTTTCATACTATTACTCAAAAAAAAAATTATTAAATAAACAATACAATTTGTATTAAATGCACATGTAGATGGAATTATAAACGTTACTGTTTACTCTAGCTGTGCATAAAATTAAAAATTTCACAAATTTGACAAAATTCTTTTTTTTTTTTAAAAAAAAAGAATTTTCTTAAATTAAAAAAAAAAAGAATTTTGTCAGCCCACTGTGGAATATGACGGTTTAGAGTGTTCTAAGCATTCAAACTGCTATTTAGTATGATGTGTCAGTATGGTTTAGTACCTTGTATTGTAATGTGTAGGCTTGTATAGTATTTTAGTAATAAAATTTTGAAGAAAAAAAAAAAAACAAGCTTCTCGGCTATAGTGGCACTCTGGGTCTTAGGGAATATATTTAAAATGAAAAATGGAAAAAAATAAATATAATAAAATAATGAGTTTTATATTGTTAGATCTAGTAATTTTGTTTTGTAAAATTAGAGTTTATGCTTGAATACTTTTTATTTATTTTTTCTAGGTTCTTGTTATTCATGGATACAGGTAAACTTAATTATTTAAAATAACTTAGTTTGTTATTGGATATTTCCATATCATATAAGGAACTGTCCATTAATTGCGTCAAAAATTTTTGGCAATTTGTTCAGCCCCCTTCTTCTTGTCAGCAACTTGTTAACTTAAGACCCCCTATAAAAGTATATCAACATTTGATAACCCTTTCTCCTCCCCCCTCCTCCTAAAAAATAAATTGTGATGATAGTGTTGAACATTTATCATAATTTATGTACAGTTCAGAGTCATAATCTGTGAATGTGCCAATACTCCTCACTTTAACTATAGACCTAATCCAGTTTTACAGTGAAAGCCAATTATCTCAATGGAGTATAGTATAACAAAAAATGCATTTAATTAATTGTTTAAAACAAGGGGTTAGCAACCTCTTGTTTTAAACAATTTATTAAATTGTTTAAAACAAGGAGTTTTAAACAATTTAATAAACCCCTTTTGAGACAGAAAAGCCACAATTTACAAAGTTTTTCATTTTTTAAAGAGCCTCAAACATCTTTATTTTAATATTATATTATGCTAAAAGTTGATTGAATGTGTAATACAGAACTGAAAACGCTGCCGAATTTTTCTTTTTGTAAATAATTAAATTTATTTTAAAGAGTAATATCAATTTGTCTATACCTCCCCCTCCCCCTCGTAGTTTGCTAACGTAAATAATAGACAGCCTCTAAGTAAAGTTTTTATTTAAAAGTTTGATATTTACATTGTAGATTTTATAGAAAAAGAAAATTTTCTAAAAACTTCAACCCTATATCTCTAAGCATTCTAAAGTTATGGTTGTTTGATAAATGAAAGACTCAATCTATTTGTGGCAATTTTTTGTCTTTTTTATTAAGGCTATACTTTTAAAGCCATATAAAAAAAAAATATTTTTTATTACTTAAAAGTCAATACAATGGTAGCTGCCCATCTTAATTAAAAAAAAAAAATTAAGTTTATTTTATCAAAAAAATTATTTAAGAAAATCTAAGCTGGTGTTCTTTCGGATGATTCAAAGTAAGATTCTGACTTTTTAATAAAATACTGACTTAATAAATCATTATTTTTCAATATTAATGAATGGACAATACACTTAAGGCTATTTCTTCTATTCAAATTTATTTAGTTATTTACAGACATTAATAATTCTTCATTATTTTTTTTTTTCTTAAACTATTTACAGTAGAGTCTGATCCTATTTTGCTTTTGGCAGATCTACTTTATCACTTAATAAATCATTATTTTTCAATATTAATGCAAATGTTACCAATAACTTTCCTAGTTTGCATTTTATAAAGTATCCAAAATCTTATTTTTAATCATCCTAAAATACGATCTTAATTAAAAAAAAAATTATTTAAGAATATCTTCATTATCTTTTCCTGGCTTAGAATTAAATTCTTTTTGGCTATATAAAAAGTATAAAACTGAACTGAAAGTTTTTTCAGTGTCACTAAATTTGAAAATTATATGCTAAAACTTGTTTTTTTTTTTTTAAGTTTTGTTGTTGTTGTTTGTTTGTTAAGTTTTTTTTAGGCTGAAACTTGTTTATGTTAAATTCCATCAATCTCTCAAGCATATAATTTAAAACTTAAATTTGTTAATATTTTCGCTGCACAAGCGTTTGCCTTTATTATTTGGAATGGACAATACACTTAAGGCTATTTCTTCTATTCAAATTTATTTAGTTATTTACAGACATTAATAATTCTTCATTATTTTTTTTTTCTTAAACTATTTACAGTAGAGTCTAATCCTATTTTGCTTTTGGCAGATCTACTTTATCAGTGCCCTCAGGTTTGGGCAGAGGAAGTTAAAGGTTTTGAGGTATATTTGTTCTAAGATCTTTTTCATATCGATTTTTGGCAAAGCATTCTTCTTTGGCATATTTAAGGTTGGACTTTGCACTTTGCATGAAAGTGTCACATTTAAAAAAAAATCCAGTTTTATATATATATATATATATATATATATATATATATATATATATATATATATATATATTTATATATATATATATATATATATGTGTATATATATATATATATATATGTATATATATATATATATATATATATATATATATATATATATATATATATATATATATATATATATATATATATATATATATATATATATATATATATTACTGTTACCCGCAGTATCAGGAATTAGCTAAATGCTAATATTTATAATATTATATTGTGACTTAAAGTTTCATGTGTTACCACAATCATCAGGCAAGTAGTTAAAAGTTAATTTTGCTACAATGTGTTTAGAAAAAATTTACGGTTTATATTAGTATTTTAGATCGTTATGGGACGGAAATTGTTTAGTAGTTAAGGTTAATGTTATTATTAATTTGTATTTGGTTAATATATGTGAAGTTGTTGTATGTTTTAATGTCTGTTATAAAAATACGATTTAATAATAATGTGAATTGTTTTTAAAAATTTATTGTATTAAAAATAAATGAATATAAAAATAAGTTTCAAAAGTGGGTATAAGAATATAAATTATATTACGAAATATATTACAAAAGCTGTGTATGTAAATAAATTATTGGTTAACCTAGATCTAAAATACTAACATAAACTGTAAATTTTCTCTAAACACATTGTAGCAAAATTAACTTTTGACTACTTGCCTGATGATTGTGGTAACACATGACAATTTAAGTCGCATGTAATATTATAAATATTAGCATTTAACTAATTCCTGATACTGTGGGTAACAGTAATATATATACTATATAGCTCTAGTTTATCTATTGAGCACTCTTTAAAATATACATTATTATACATAATGTAAAGAAATCATCTTTAATATTTACATATATGCACCCACGTGTATATATATATATATATATATATATATTAAGTACAAAAATATATATAAATGCATATTTAGTAAATATATATATATATATATATATATATATATATATATATATATTTAGTAAAAAAATATGTATATACATTTAGTATATATATATATATATATATATATATATATATATATATATATATATATATATATATATATATATATATATATATATATATATATATATATATATATATATATATATATATATATATATATTTAGTAAAAACACCTACCTAATTTTTGTACTCTTTAACAGCATGTTTCACCATCAATATGTTCATCAGGAAGCTTCCTGATGAACCTACTGATGATGAAACATGCTGTTGAAGAGCACAAAAATTAGATGTGTTTTTACTATATATATATATATATATATATATATATATATATATATATATATATATATATATATATATATATATATATATATATATATATATATATATATATATATATATATATATATATATATATATATATATATATATATATATATATATATATATATATATATATATGTATATATATATATATACATATATATATATATATATATATATATATATATATATATATATATATATATATATCTATATATATATATATATATATATATATATATATATATATATCTATATATCTATATATATATATATATATATATATATATATATATATATATATATATATATATATATATATATATATATATATATATATATATATATGTTGGCCTATTCTAGGAAAAATATTTGGCTGGCGGTCCCCCTGTTGTTTTGGCGGAATTTAGCAGAAAATCGGCAAATATTGTTTGTTTTTTTTTTGCAAAAAAAAAAGAATATTTGCCGTAAAAATGTAAAAAAAAAACATTAAAAAAAAAGATCCTTAAATTTTAATTTAAGGCGGTGCTCAAATCGGCACCTAAATACGGTCGATGCTTCTAAAATGGTCTATAATAGCCCCTGATATATATATATATATATATATATATATATCGTGTAAAATAAGAAATCAAAGGTGAGCAGTCAATTTGACCAGCTAACCCTTGGAATTGACGGTCAACTGTTTTTTTTTGGACGGTCAACATTTTTATTATTTTCTTTGTTTTCATTTTAATCTTCCTATTAGTTCTTCATGACTGAACTTTTTAAATAAATAAAACTTAAAATTTTATAATTAACAAATTAGTATTCCTTTTTTAAACTTGGAAATAACTAACATTAAAATTACACGCCAATGTTAATAGTTTAAAATTAAGCACGCAGATTTTCATTTTACTTCTTAAAGGAAGTTTGATAAACTAATAAACTTTTTCAAAATTTTTATTACTGTATGATAATTTAGTACATGCTTTTTCCAAATAGTAATCTGATTATTTTTCAAATCTTGTTTTTCAAAACTCTGATTATTTTTTAACCGGTCAACCGGGACCGGAAAGAATTCAATTTGGAAGGTCAAAATAGCAATTTTACTCATTTTGGGCAGTCATTGACCGTTGACAGGCCATTATTTTACACGCTGTATATATATATATATGTATATATATATATATATGTATATATATATATATATATATATATATATATATATATATATATATATATATATATATATATATATATATATATATATATATATATATATATATATATATATATATGAATAAACCAAAAGTTTTCAAAACGTAAGCATGATTTTTAATCATTTCATAAATTAGCCAAGTTATTTTGTTGTTGTTTGTCATAAATTAAGTTGTGTAGGTATATATAAATAGTTATATATATAATATATACCAAAATTATATAGGTATAATTATATAACCATAGAATTACAATTTATATACAATTTATTTACAAATACACATTTTATATTAAAATATATATTCTTATATAAAATGTGTATTTGTAACATATATGCGCATATGAATTAAGTTTGATTATAATTATTGATATTTATAATAATAAATTTTACTAAATATAATATTTTATAGTAATTATTAATTTTGATATTGAATAGTTCTTTTTGTTATTATTTTACTTAATAATAAGTAACTTTTTATTTAAGACAGTGCGCTAAAACTTCTAGAGAAAAATCTGGATCTTTGCGAAAATTATTAAAAAAGTATATTGACTTTGGTATGTTTCTCTTTATATGTAATATCTTCATCTTTAAAAAAACGTATATTTTTTGTCAAAATTTATCAAAAATACATACAGTTTCTTATTTAATGAAATTAGTCACTAAAGGGGTTGTCCCCAAAAGCTTATATAACTTATTATAAATATTTGTGATATTTTTTGTTCTGTAAAAAGATTTAAAACATCAATAAAAGTTTTCTCTAGGGTGTCCCCACACACAAATAAAAATACCTCTCAAGCTTTGCCCCTTCTCTTTGGTTTAAATAGACTTAAAAAAAACTAAAAAACCCATTTTGCTTGTTTAAGAATGATCTGAAAAACTTCATTTTTTTAAAGGAAAAAACACGTATTTTAAAAACTCTCCTAAAAATATATATTTCCAGCTTAAAAAATTTAATATTTTTGAGTTGCTTCTTTGTCAAGTCTTTCTTTAGTTTCTTTTTGCTGTCTCTGGCAATGAGCATGTTTTATGTCATCCGACCTCTAGCCTCCTACAATGTCCTTGATCGGTCTGGTGTTCCTTTTCTTGCAGTCATTCATACATACAATTAACTTAATCCACTTCTCTACCTCTCCAACTGAACTTCTGCTACTTTGAACAGCATTAGCAAAATACCAGTTCAGTAAGCTCTGTTGACCTTGCAATAACCAGTAGCCCCATATGAAACTGCTTGGGTACATCACACTTGATCAATGTCTTCATCATCATTTTCTTTACCTTCTCATAAACATCATTGTCAGCTAGGGCCAGTATAACTAACTGTTCTGTTAAGTACCAAGCACCTCTGTGCATGCTGACAAGTAGGGCCTGTCCTAGTTTTGGGTAGTAGTCACTTATTTTGAATTATGGTTTAAAGACAGCCAAGTCATTTGAAGTTGACTTGTTTATTATGCAGATTTTTAAAAACCAGGGTCAATAACATATAGAAACAAATAATGCTGCTATTTTTACCATCTTTTCTTCTTCATTCAACACATGGGCTACCATCTCAGTCATCCTCAGGGTCAGCAGGTATCTGCCATTAACTATACTTAATAAATGCCATTAACCTTAATTAATAAATTATCATTATTGAAAATGTACTCTCCACTAAAAATAAAATCTATTGATAATATACTTTAACTATGCCTGGCTTCATAACAGGCTTCAGGTTGATAAAAATGAAACCCTTGTGTATCTCCTCTTAAATAAAACACACTTAGTTCACAGAGTTTCTTATAGTCCCCTCTGTTAAATGTCTTTGTGGTCAATGCGTTTTTGCAAATCTCTAAGGCCTCTCTTGCAATGTTTCGCAGGGCTCATCCAACCTGTAGCTAATTCCAAATCTGATGATCTTCTCTATCTTGTCCACCTCTTCCTTGATGCTTGTTCAGGCTTTCTGCAGTCTTACATATAGTGCTCTCCTGGGGCCTTTTGTTTTCTCTCCAGTAAGAGCTTCCATATAATGAAAGATGTGTAACTCCAACATATTTTGTCTGCAGAAAAACCAGAGAAAGTGGATGTTGAAAATATTTGTGAGAATGGTAATGGGGCCAAGAAATACTCCAGTGTTGTAAGCAGTGGTATCACAACTTATGGCGAATATCTGATCAACAATTTTGTAATACTTTAGCAGATTTAAGGTTACTTCTGCATGGTCAACTCCCTTAGAGATTTCAGCTTGAACTACTCCAAAAAGGATATCATTTGTATCATCAATATCTGGTAAATTAACACTAACTGAAATTCTTTCAACAGTAATTTTTAAATTCTCGTCAATTTCTTTGATCTTTTTGCTGTTGAAGTGCAGGACAAGTCTCTTTCACCTTTCCATTATTTTCTTTGTTTTATCTGGTCTCCTATTAATTTAATATCTTTATCACTTATGTAATTAAATCTTTATTTAGCTTTTTGTTCTTAGCTAGATTTTCAATCTTCTTAATTCTCTTTCAATGAAAGTAGCATTTAGAAATTCAAGTTTCATGCCTGCTTTATTGCAGGCCTGAATCTTGCAGGTTTACTGCAATGATCGTGGTTTGAGGTCAGATCCTGACCCTATACAGAGCAGGTACTACAGAAGTACAGTCCACCAAATCCTCAGGACTAATATTTATCACTATATAAACAATAAATAATGATTTTACTCTAATTGAATTTTTATTCTAAAGTTAATGCAACCTACTTATATTTTATAATCATCATTTGTTTACCTTTATTTTTACTGTAAAATCAGAGTTTTGAATTAACTCATTGACAGAAATTTTATTTGTTAAAACTACAGCTTCTGAGTCTGATGCAGAAGAACCAGCATCAGAGTTAAAAGGAACCTCATTTAGAGACAGGTTCTTTTTTTTTTTCTTCTTTCTCCACTTTTGTATTTTTTATATTCTTTATTCTCTGCCACTGACTTTGTGTGTTTTTAACAGATATTTCAAATTCTTTGTCTACCTCTATTGTAATATACATTTTTCTATTCTCTTTCTGGTCTAAAAAAAACTGAATATCCTCTGCCTTGGCCTCCTGAGAAAAAAATTGATCTAATTGGATCTTCTCCTTAAACTTCCCCACAGATATGTCAAAGAGTTTATTACTCTCTTGTATGAAATTTTTCCTACACCTTGGTACATCTATTAATGCTAGAAGTTTAGTTTACATTACTTAGTATGGAGATTCAAAATCTTATCGTTTAATAATATTAAAAAAAAACATTATTTCTTAAGTTAATTACTTTTTTTTTGCTGAATTACTTATTTTTTATTTACATAATCAAAAATTAATAATTTTTCTACCTGACAGCAGCTCCAGAATTGATGAGTTCTCCGAAACCAGCCTTATTGCACACATCTACTACAAGAGCTGTAACACATCTATGGTTGGGATTTATACATAATCCTTTCTTGCAGATAAAATCTTTGCTTGGAAACCTTTGAGAAAATCCTACAATACGCTTAGTATATTTAAACACGGGGAAATTTGACAAACTGTATATATTTAAGCATATATCCAATGCTGGGGAGCTGGTTCATGGACAACTTATTGACAGGATATTTTAGAAGAAACAGTAGTCTTTTGGGGTTAATCTGTAGCATTCTCTTTTTTCCTTTATTTGTGGCTTTCTTGCAAAGGCGACCCATTTTAGAAAATACTATGAAATATTCAATTACATAACATATATTCATTTGTTCATTTCATCATCTCAAAAATTTCAAACATGTGTGGCCAAACTAAGTAATTAAGTTTATCTTTTTAATTTACAAACAGTGACTTAAGTTGGCAAGCTTTTTTTAATAAGTATAATGCATACAAATATATCAAGGTAAAGATTTTGTTAAAAATAAAATAAACAAATGACAAGTATATTGTTAAGTTTAACTCTAAATTACACATGTTTTATGTAATATGAGCACAAATATGTTAATACCACACTCGTGCTTATTTGATGCATAAAAATCATTTAATGAAATTATTGTGTTTTTTTATGGGCAAAACAAAAATGTATATGTATCAGAAGTTTAAGCAGGTTTGTAAGCCTTTTATAACATTTAGCGTAAACATACCCAAAACTGTTTTAAAAATAAATATGCATTATAAAAACATGTCTCAGACTAATTATATTATTATTCAACTTATTGGAATAATCAAGAAGTTTAAGAAAAAAAAAGATAAGAAAAAATTTCCTTATAAACTTATCCAAAATTGATGCTAAGTCTTATATTTCATTTTTTGACTACCGATTTTTTTTCCTGTTGATTTTTAACCTCAAGGGACTTCAGAGAATGGAAAAAACTTGGGAAAAAAGTTTATTTTTGGGACACCCTCCTTTCCATCTTATAACATTAAATGCGCAGAATGATAAACTGAATTTTAATAATTACTTTGTTAATTTTAATGTTACTTTTTGCAAAAAAAAATTTCAAAAGTACACAATTCTTATATTAATTATCATTTTTTTTTTTAAACTATTGCGAGTGTTTTTTATTAAAAACACTCGCAATAAAAGTGCTTTCTCATGAGATTCCATTTTAGTTTTTTTTTTTTTTCTTCCTAGTCCTTTACACTTAGTCTCCAATCAATTTTAGTCAATATCTATTAACTTATCAATGAATTTGCATTGCCCACCTTTAAAAGCTTTAAAAGAAGGTCTTGATCTTTATGTTTTTTTGAAACATAAAGATCAATTCCTTTGTTTTTCTATAGTTTTTATGTTTTTTCAAAATTTTTATGTTTTTTGAAGCAATTTTTGATATTTTTTGAACTACAGGCAAAATTTTAAACTCATTGATACTGTTAAAAATATTAAAATCAATTGGTAAAGTAACATAAAACTCTTTTCTTAAATGAATAAGCAAAATTGAAATTATTAATCAGTAATTAAAATTGTTAGTTGATTAACAAAAGTAAAGTTACATTCATTATCCCAGCTGTCTTCTTAACAAATCAAATAGTTTTAAAATTTCCCTCAGCAGGATACATATTATAAACAAAAAAAAAGTATATACAAAAATACATAGTATAAACAAAAAAAATATTATAAACAAAAAAAAAAATTTTTGATTTTACAATAGTTATATAATATAAACAAATATATAGTATTTATTAAAAATATATATATGCTAATAAAAAGAGAATTTAACAACTTAATATTATTCTGATTATCCACAAAAATATAAATTCTTAAATAACTTTGTTTAATTTTTGCTTTTAAGTTATTCTTGCTGAAACACTTCTTTGCATAAAGTTCATTAGATTATAACTTTTTAACTTATGAATTTAACAAATGGTTATAAATTTGTCTTGTCAAAACAGTTGTTTCTAAAAATTTCATTAGTTTATAGCTTGGGATGGAATGCATCCAAGGTTGTGTTATTGTTTTTAAAATTAAAAATTTCTTTTTTTAAACATGCTGAGTTTAAAGACACATATGATAACATAGCTAGAGGTATAGAAAATAAATTTTTAATTTTCATTAGCATCAAGGATTGAAATTTAAATCAATAATTAAATAATGAATAATTAATGCATATTTAAAAATAAATGCATGTTTTACCAAATTATTGCATTTAGTATTTAAATGTGAAAAAATTAAAAATATAAATGTATTAAAAACTAACTTTTTATAAATAAATTGTCAACATTTATAAGTGTTCCATTAAATTTAAAATTAAAAAAATATATATATATACAAATTATTTTAAATGCTCTTCAGTTTTTGATTAAATTTTAAAAATGAGCAAAGTGTTTGAAGTTAGTGGGAGAATTTTTCAGATCTTTTATGGTATTATTTTTGTTTCTTTTTGGGGCCAGAAAACATTTAACCAGCTCCACATTTCTGGTGAAGCCAGTCAAGAGGCAGATAGTATTTTATTAAGTTAACTGTTTAGCTAATCATTTACAAGTATGAGATGTTGAGAATGTTGTTTTATCTTTTATGATATTTATTATATCAGCACAATACCAAATATTCTTTTAAGTTTAAGTTTTAAAGAATTGAAAAACTAGATTTGTTCTTGTAAGAAAGATCATAAACCAAAAATTCTTGTCTAATTGTTTTGTGTCCTGCTTAGAAAAGTTTTTTGATAGATCTTTATTTTCTTAGCATCAGAGACACTTGACACCGATGAAATTTTTTTTCCTTCGTGCTTTTGCTGCTTTTTTTTCTTCCTTTGTAAGCTTAAGAAAATCAGGGTTAACAATTTTCAAAAAAGACCTTATATTACAAAATAACAAGTTATAAAAAGGATGCTCCAAAACTTTCCATATATACAATATATTTTTTTAACGAGTTTATTTGCATTGATTTATCAATGTTTATCTGTGTTTATCTTAACCAGTTATTGATGAAAATGAAGGAAAGAATTAAAAACAGATTTACAAAATAATGGTAGATTAGAATGGTAAAAAAATCATAAAAATGACAGTAATAAAATATTTTACAACAATTACTCTAAAAATATTTTCAAGACAGTTGTTAAATACTTGTTGGAAAATTTTTATAAAAAGTAAACTACTTAATAAAAGATTAGTACAATTTTTAAATGTTAGAAATATAAAAAACTTTGTATTTTTATTTTGAAGGCAATTTTAGTAATTTAATAATTTAATAATTTAATCTAATATTGTTGTTTTGTATTTAGTTTATATTACAGCGCCGAATAAGATTCCCTCAAGTATTGATGAAGGTATGTGTAGAATGTAGACTAGTTTAATTTTGACAGAAAAAACTACTTATAAACATATTTACCAATAAAAAAAACTTTGATTGACAATAATGATATTGACTTAGGAAGCTGTGAGGTCTTAAGTACATAAATTGATATAAGTAGATCATAAAAGGGACTTGCTGCTACTTTAACTGAGGATTTGGATTAAGGCAGCTTGTTTTGTTCTTCTTTTTGTCAAAATAAAGCATGAAATTAGATTGGCAAAAAAAGTTATTAAATGTATATAAAGTTGAACTCATTCAAATTCAATCTCAAAAAATTTTTGAATTAAAAGAGTTTTTAAATTATAGACCTTCAATCCTGAATATTAAACCCTGAAAAACTACTGAACTGAAAAATTAGGGACTTTTCGGGACTAAAAAATTAGTTTGATTTAAAAAATCTTTTGATTTTTAGGATTTTATTATTATCTATTGTCATCAGTAGTTTTTAGGAGTTTATTATTATCTATTGTCATCAGTAGTTTTTAGGAGTTTATTATTATCTATTGTCATCAGTAGTTTTTAGGAGTTTATTATTATCTATTGTCATCAGTAGTTTTTAGGAGTTTATTATTATCTATTGTCATCAGTAGTTTTTAGGAGTTTATTATTATCTATTGTCATCAGTAGTTTTATCATTTTTAAGATGTCTGTCTAAATCCAAACCCTCAATTGAAATATGTACTGGCCACCACAAATGGTTATTTTAGTTTTATGTATCATGCAATGCTAAGTGCGCAAAAGTATTTCCATATATATACACATACACATTGCGTGCATGTGTATGTGTATATATATGGAAATATTTTTAAAATATAATTAATATATTTAAAATATATTAATTATATTTTTTAAATACACATAAATTTAAAAAAAGCAGCTTGGCAGAATAACTACACAAGTTTTAGTCACAAGGATTTATTAAAAAGATACCCAAACGTCACACACACACAAATGCAAATATCACACACACATGCAAATGTCACACATACACACACACACACACACACATGCACATACACATAAATGTCACCACAAGCTGTGTTTATTTCATAAATAAACATTATTAAATAATTTTTGAGCTTAAATTGACAAATTGACTTTTTATTAAATTTATGCAAATGTAAGTGAGGTATTCAAGTGTAATTGCAAATGTAAGTGAGGTATTCAAGTGTAATTGCGAATGTAAGTGAGGTATTCAAGTGTAATTGCAAATGTAAGTGAGGTATTCAAGTGTAGCTAAAATCTTTTTTGGTTTGTATTTAATTGCTGTGTTTGTATTTATTATGATGTACTATAATTAATATAATAAATATATTTTTTTAGAATATGGCTGGTGGTTTTCAAAAGAAGACATGTCGTTTAATGCCTTAGAAAATTCTCATATTGACAATGGTCACCAAATATCTGTTGATCATATTACAAATGCATTTAAGGAACATGTGAGTTAATGAATATTATAAGTTCATTAAAAGTTGATGATTATTACTCATAATTTTTATAACTATCCTATGGAATATTCAAGTTTATAATTTTTGATTATAGATAAATATATAGTTATTCGTATTTAAAAGAAAAGCTTTTTTCTAGGGTTCATTTGATGGTGAGTAACTACATCGTTGGTGATAAAACTGTTATTGTTTTTTTTATTTTGTTCCGCGATCCTTTTTAATATTGAATGTTATGCTAGGAATTTTGGGATTTAGTCAGGGTGCAACTATGGCAACACATATATGTGCTTTAAGTGAAGAAGATGGTAAAGAAGTTTTGATCATTAGAAGTAGAAAAAAAGTCTTTTGTTTAGAGTCTTTTATTTTTTGAAAAAATTATAAGAGATTATTAATTTCAGGTTTTCCATTCAAGATCAAATTTGCTATTTTGTGTGCTGGTTTTAAATCTCGCTCATTACCTCACCAATGTTATTATTCAAAAAAAATATCATGCCCTTCCCTTCATATATATGGTGACTCAGATAGAGTGATTCCAAAAGGTTTTTATTTTACTTATAAAAAAATGTTTAATTATAATTTTGTTTAAATAAATATGTTTTTGTTATATAGCCCTTTTTGCCATATTAGACTGGCATAAATGTTACATACCTGTGTTATATTATTTTCTGATGGATTTTTTGTTTTTACTATACTCATACATATTAGTATATTATGTAAAGATGTAAAGAATATTAGTGATTTAACTGATTCTTTTCTTTTCAAGACTTTTGTGTTGTTTCTGGTTAACTAGACCGAGCTCTTTCTCTTAACCATCACATCAATATTATTTTTATTGGTGACTTTAATGCTCATCACACTGAATGGCTCAAAATTGTATACATGTTTGCACATATCTTATACAAGATTTTTATCAACTTTTCTTAAACAAGAATGGATTCATTTTTTCAGCTGATCTTTATTTTCAGTTTCCCAATTGTTTTCATATATGTAGCATTTAAGGATTGACCAGAAATCTTTTATTGGTCGTAATTCTAGGACACATGCTAGATTATCAACTTATTACATAACACATATTTTTCTCATCGAGGTAATTGGTCACACTTCTAGCATAATGTGAAAAGGCCAAGTCAGGGCAGAATAAATAATTACCATCACTGTGATGTTTTTTGATAAAAGGAATCAATCGTTTGATGATGCAATCATTTTTATACACTGGTTAATTGCAAGTCTCGTAGGAACAATAAATGGTATAGAGAATCCATGAGGGGATATGGTACAAGATTTTCAAAAATCCATACAAGATTTTTTTTTTTTTTTTGAAGAATTGGTTTTTGCTCTTATATTTTACATTTTTTGGTGCATTTTTTGCTACATCTGAGTAAAGTCCAGCATAAGAATTTTTATTTTTATGTTTAAATGTAAAATAAGATTCATCGTCAATGGTTTCTGAATTTGAAAAAAATTCTTCCACACTTCAGTTGCAACTGTTTATAAGTGCGATCAGGAATTTGTTTTTTCTTAAAATAACAAATATTTGTTTTGTTTTTTAATGTTTTTACCATGTAAGAATGATCACACTTGAATTTATTTGTAAGTTTTCTTGTCGAAGTTCCAAACCGGTAGTTTAAAAGACTTTTTAGGCAATTGATGTTCCTAGCAGTCATAATTTTTGGTTTTCTGCCTAATCCAGGCTTACGAGACTTTAGCTCATTGTTCTTCCATTTTTCCATATAACGTTTGATGGCTCTTTTGGGGTGATTACAGGCAACAAAATATCTACGATATTCTTCGTTTTAGCCTTAGAATGCAAATTACAGTAGTTGTACACTTTTTCAATTAATGTAAACGGCTTCATTTTTGGATAACTTTTTTATTATCTAAGTAAATAAAACTTTCTGTAAAAGATAACAAACACTTTATAAACAAAACAATTAAAAAAAGAGACTGGTTAACTAAAAATTCAATAAGTTTTAGCTTCTCAAAGATGGTGTTGAATTTTTTTGTGACCAGGGGTTACTACAGAGGTAGCCAGTTTTTTTATGCATTTTATGCTACAAATCGACTTAGTATAAGTAAAAATATATTCTGGTTACCTCGAAAGTTTTATTTTTCTATCATCTATTATATATTTTGAGTTTCATCTGAAAAGCTTTTTTTCTTGCTTTTAGTATTTGACTTAAAAATAAGTATTTGACTTAAAAAGTTTAGATTGATTTTTTTTAAACAAATATTTACATGATATTGGTTTATTTTATTTTTATCGATCATTTTTTCAGTCCCTCATAACAGTTCATTATCAACTTATCAACTGTATTTGAATATTTACTATCATCATTATTAGTATCTTTTGCAGCCTATTAAATATACAGGTTATAAAGCCTTTTAATATTTTAAAAATAAATTGTATTCTTGTGTGTGAACTTGCATTGTCTACTTTTACTTTTATTTATTTTTATTTTACTTTTATTTTTTGCTTTTTGCAGCTACGTTTAAAAAGTCTCGAAAAGTTTTATGAGATATTTACTTTTTTATTTAGCCTATTGTAATAAATTGTTGCTTTTGAATTATAATTTTAGATTAGGTTGATTTTGAATTTCAAAATTAGGTCTTGCTTATTTAAAATTTTGTTTTGAATTTTTCTTTTAGTTATATGTTTTCTAATTGAATTTACAAAAGTTTTAAAATTGTTATATTTTCTCAACAAAAAAAAAAAAAACTCTAGCAGTGGTTAGAGTTCTGGCTCAGAACCAAGAAGTCCGAGGTTATATGCCGGCTCTGGCTAGATAAGCGACATTGGTAAGGAAAGAGGCGTGAACCTTCTAGTTAAATTCTCTTTGCTAAGACCGCGATGACTTCTTGGAGCGCCTTAATAATCACACACACAAAAGATTTGAAAAATATTTAATGCAAAATTTTGAAAAATAAATTATTACAGTAGATTCAACATTTACCTAAATGATGGGTGTGAATGCTATAAAAAGTTTACTATTTCTGAACCCCTCTGAATTTTTCTAACACAATTACTTTTTTTTCAAAAATTCATTTAAAGAAACTTAATTTTGTTTCAGAAATGAGCATAGAGCTTCAAAATTGTTTTCAAACTTTCTCTGTTATTATACATTCCGGAGGTAAATTAATTGCTATATGTAATCAATAATTTGTAAGATATTTATTAAAACTTTTTTCTGAAAGTTTTTATGCAGCTTTTTGAATTTTTACAAGTTCCAATGTTTTTTTTATTAGGTCACTATATACCAGCAACATCGAAAGAAAGAAAAGATTACGAAAATTTTCTCCTGCCATTTATGAAAGAACAAACAACAGAAGTATAAACTATTAAAGTTAATTATGTATTTTTAAAAAAAATTCGATAATTTCAAAAAAAATTTTATGATTAAAAGTTCTGCCTTGAAAATTGCTAAATTAAAGTTACATGACATAAAAATATTTTTATAAAAAAAAGTCTGGCTTCATATCGAAAAAGGAAATATCGGTCAGTGCTCGCTATGGCTGCTCAAAATTTAAAGTTTTTATTTAGATGATGTGAAGACTCAAGTGATCATCCGAGCCAAAATTTGTATTGACTGTACAAAGCATTATCTGTCTGGTTGCCCCAGTTTATTTTTTGCGCATGAACGCCAAAACTCAAATGCACACTCAAAAAATTATTCATGTAACAAAAGGATAAAAAATTTTAGTAGCTACACTTTTAAAAAATATTGCGTTTTTTACGGAAAATTTCCGGCAGCCGTGATGATCCCGTTAGTTTCGCAAAAAAGAAATAAGTCAACCCAACCACACCAAAATGCTTTCTTGTATTTCTTTTCCATTTCGAGTCAGCAATAAATCTAAAATATAAATATAAACAAAATTAAAAAAAAATTTATGAGTAATTAAAGATTTTATTATTTAACAAAGTAATAAATAATAAAAAAAAATCAATTGCAATATTTTTGTTAAAGTTGTTACTCAGTATAATAGATTTAGCTATTGCCAGCCGTAAAAGCAGTGGTAGCGCGCTCGCCTCAGTATCAAAAGATCAGTGGTTCAACCTCTCCTCTGGGCAAGTTTTGCGACATCATTTTTTTTTTTTTTTTTTTCTTTTTTTAATTCATTCAAACTTTTTCGAATATTAGAAATCCCTTTTTGTAAAAAGTTAAATAGTCTAAATTCCGGTTGTCAGCGATCAATTTTTATTAAAATAATTTTCGGGGATTATTATAAAAAAAAATTTCCAGCGGATGGCTCCTCAATAAATGTCATTATAAAATTATTGTCTAAAAAAGGCATGTTATTACCAAAAAATCTATCCCACGTTATGAGCATACATTGGCACGCAAAAAAGAAACTGCATTTTGCGTTTGCGTTCCAAAATAATAACTCACACGCAAACTCAAACGCATTTGACGCAATTTATTGTGTTTACTTACGTAAACGTAAATGCATTTTA